CATATCCCGCGAGCCAACATCCTCTGGGACCTATTCCCCAAGGATATTTTTGTGCTATGTGGGTATGTACTTCATTTCTTTCACGGGTGATATTTAAACCAAAAACTTTCCCCATAACTTTTCTATTTCGCCCATTATCTTGATACCAAACAACAAAAATAATTATTGCATAAAAACAATTTTCCTGTTCTGAGTAAAAGTCAGTGCCACTCATACAATTGCCAAGCTTTTGACGTCTCATCAGCGCATCTACTTTAAACATGTACTAGTGATTATATCAAATAAATGAAAAACAATTTCAAAATGTAAAACCCGTCTGTGTCGATTATTTGGTTTATACTTTTATAATTAAACAATTACTTTTATAAAATTGAATAATATATTAGTTCTAAAATTAATTTCAGGAAAGATTTAAATAGTAGGCTTTTGTAAAAATGCAGGTAGCCAGAAATTCTGAATTTGAAAGGAAAATGAAAAAGCTCCAACACGAAATGCAACAGCAAAATAAGCAGATCTTTCGAATTCCCACAGACTTTCTAGGTGTGTGCATCATGTTATTTCATCTACTAACTAGATGCTTGAGCAGCAGCACCTAAAAAAATGTATCAAAAAAAAAAGTATATACCAGTCAAAAGTCGTTAATTCGGGACACCCCACAATCCGGAATATGATCTATAATCCGGACCTCAAGCTACAAACTGTATGAACGCCAGGCGTCGCGTTCACGTCATGCACACAGGCGTTTACGGAGAGGCGTAAGCCCTTACGGCTGCGAATGTGTGTGGTGCCATGCGGTTAAAATTGTAACGGAGTTACGCTAAAGATAAGTTATCTTAATTCAGTTTAATGTTGCCGACGTGCGTGTGCCTTAATCTGCGCGAATTGGATCTGGCCCTACTATTTTTTGAGAATGTTCTTAGAGCAATTTTCCTAATAAGGAGCTTGAACTTCTGCGATTATGTCCAAATCGAATTTCCGATATATATTTACGACAAAGTGATGAAAGTGGTTTTGAAAATCCAAATCTTTGGGTTATCAATTTCCGCTGCTCTGCGGGCAGACGAGGGAGGGCAGAAACGTCATTCTATTAGGATTATGATAGATTAGCAAAAGATTATGTCACAATAGGAATTTCTCGATATTATTTACTATTATGTAATTTGTATCGACAAAGCCCCCGAAAGTATGTTTGCTGATTGCCGAAACTCTGTTTATCAAGTTCACGCCGGGATTGAAGTTGATCTGTCAGCACATCCTTATCAGGGCAGATTGTTTGTATTATTTGGTTTATAATTCAATAATAAGTGTAGTATTTCTTTCGTCTTTGATATGATTTAAATCAGTCCTCCTTGTCATTATAATTCGCTTTCCGATAGTGAAGAATAGTGATCCCATCCAGACGGTTACTTTGACTTCACTAACTGAAACAACATTTGTTTTTGACAAATTAGTAGAGTTTATTTCAACCACACTAGCAATTACTACGGCTTTGACCAAGGCCCGGGAAACATTTGTAACTAATACAAGAAATTATGTCTGTTTAATATGAATTAAAGAGAAAGTACTTATCATCCTGATAACGAAGCAACCTACACCTGACCAGTGACTAACCCCTGTCATTTACTACAGCAAACAACTAAATTATTAAAGCTGTTTCTTTTTGTAAATTTGAGACCTTTTAGACTCATAATTGTCTCTTATTTCATTAAAGTACGGTTCTCCTATTTTTAAATTTGTAATGATCGCATGCCATTCTTACAGATTAAACTGATGATATCATCCCGGAATGCGCCTGATTCCCTAATACAGTTACCGGACGAGTCTCCGGATGTAACGGACCCTTTGACTTAATGATTTTCACGAGCAGTTCGCAAACATCTCAGATAAGATTGTTTAATGCTTATATTAGACAATCTCAGGATTTAAATGTTCTTTTTCTCAACGATTAAACCCACATTTAGAAGAAAGCAAATACAGCTACCATGAAAATACTGATGCCTTCTTAACGCTGTTATGTGTCTCAGGACTGCCAAACATTATTTCCATAATCAACATTCTGGGTAACCCATCTTCGTTACGAAGAATTAAATTAAATAACTTATTAAATAAGTCACTAATTATGTTTACCAAATCACTTAAATCGGTGTAGTAAAATTTTTACAAATATGAAGAGACAAACTAATAATTAAGAAGGTGTACCTTTTTAAGATAATTTTATTAATAAAATAAAAATTTTCAAGAGTGTAATTCTATATTGAATAATTTTGTTCAGGTACATAAAAAATTCCGTGCAGGCACGGGGCTCATGTGGCTACGGTTGGCAAATTATGCTTTGGATGAAAAACTGCATGATATAGAGAAAAGTACTATGGGGCAAACTTCTTAAAATAAAAAGTGAAAGACATTTTTAATTAATAATAGCCTATTTTGCTTTGCTAAGAAATGTGTATAGAAGGGCTTTACAGAATTAAGACTCTCTGGACGATATTTTCACAGTCGAAATAAATGATTGGTATATCTAAGGTGGCAAAATGGAACTTATGATTAGTGCACAGCAAAAAAATACAAAACTTTATTTAATATTACTTCTTAAATATAATTCAAAATAGTACCATTATTTAAAGAAAATTTATTATGTTAAAAAAGTCCTTGAAAAAAAATTGTCAAAAAATCTCCCAGATTCGGAATAAAAATGTTATATAAAAAAACTGATCTTAAAATTGCCAAATTAGAAACGTTTAATAGAAGAAATCACATCCTCCCAAAAAGGGAAGTGTTTAAGAGCTCCATAGAAAAATGAAATAATTTGAAGAGCTTAAGTTTCTACTTCTTGATAAGAAATCGAGTATCCCACCATTTATATTAGAAATAGGAACAAACTGAGAATTCTCATGAACCCATATTGTCAACCATATTTGTTAACCCACAAGCTACCATATTTGCGAACAAATCGACCAACATTATTCCGCCAAAAATGCTAATACACTAAAATGCCGTCTGTGTAAACAACGAAACTCCGCTGATTAAATTAAGACCCTTTGCCGCTTTGAGCCAAAATTAAAGAATCCTGCAGGACCAACAATCAATCTAAAAACTAGGGACTTTAAGGATTCTTAAGGACCATATTATTAACCCTGTTTAAAGAACGTACAACTGCTGGAAACCATTTTTAGGAAAAATAAGATCGAGAAAGAACTATGTAAAAAAACATGAAAATTGAATCACAGAAGATCAAAACAATTTCTTTTCAAAAACATATTTACAATTCCTAAGGGGGGAAGGTCTGCAAATAGATGCAACATCACAGTACACTCTTAATGTGGAGTATTGATGGATTTCAGTCCTGCTGTGCAGTTGTTTTGTAAGAAATTTAATTGATAATTTGATGAAAATAAATAATATTTTGGCAAAGCCCATCTACCATAGCATTTTTCAGAGGGAAGCAATATCATATGAAAAAAAATTTCTTTTCAAAAATATATTTACAATTCCTAAGGGGGGGATTTTTTCGGGGGGAAAGGTCTGCAAATAGATGCAACATCACAGTACACTCTTAATGTGGAGTATTGATGGATGTCAGTCCTGCTGTGCAGTTGTTTTGGAAGAAATTTAATTGATAATTTGGTGAAAATAAATAATATTTTGGCAAAAGACATCTAACCATAGCATTCTTTCGTGGCAGCAATCCCTCTGGGATCGCACCTTGTGGTCATCAGTTTGTTTCTAAGCAAGATAAAAATCAAAAACATTCTTGTAAATTATGGTGAAATTATTTAGTGAAAAGGCTAGAGGAACTCAACAGCAATCCATGAACTTGGTTCTAAGTACTTCTGAGTTTCAGTTTGATAAACTTGATTGTAAAATCTAAATGTTTGAAACTTGAAAGAATTGTGAATAACTCTGATTAATGAATTAGCAAGTAGGGGACCAGCCAAAATGCTAATTTGATTACCTTTGGAAGGTTAAGTGGAACCTCTTTGTGCAGAGTTTGTGAAACTGACAAAGACACTTGCTTCAAATGAAACAATAGACAAACAATTCAGAAAGTTCCAGTTAAGTGCCAGTAGCTTCATTTTACAGCATCATTACTCTTCAAATCCTGGTGTTCCACTAAACAAAAGTTGGCTCTATTTTATATTTTTCGGTACACTCCAGTTTCAACTACTGATCAATACTGTGAAGTCTTTACCTTCAGCTTTTCAAAAAGTTATTTCAGAATTGCTTTCCTTTCATATTAAGAGACAGTGCCAGTTGTTAGGCTTTGGCTCCTTTGACTGGAACTTTATCAGATTTTTTTTTTTTTTTTTTGTCAGCTGTGTGAACACAAGTTTTTCTGTCATTTTGTCTTCTACAACTGACAATTTTTGAATTTGGTATAAAGGAACCCAAATATTGTAGTGAAATTGGATGCAGCAATGATTTGCTTTTGCTAAGGTAGATTTCAAACAAACTGCAAAACAATTTATACTTTAGTTTCATTAAAAGGTTAAGATAACCATTAAGTACTCACAAGCAAATGTTACCATTTTAAACCAGCCTAAGTTACACATAAATTATAATATGTTGTGAAATACTTCAGTATTGTGGGCCTATTCTATTAAACCTTCAAAATCTATTTCTGTTTAGCCTTCACAACTGTAGTACTGGACTGTACACTGATTCTAGTTGTTATTTATTAGTACTTTTAATTAAGATTTAAACAAAAAGTACTTTTATTATGTTCTTACAGTTAATAAAATTCAATTATTCAAGAGTTACCTTAATTAAGTGATTTTTGTTACATAATAATTGCAAACTCTACTGATTTTAAAATACATATTCTCAAGCTTATGGACAACAGTGTAATATGCAGGTTATATTTTAAAATACATTAAATGCTTAAAATTTTATTTTAAATTTCAATGTGCAAAATTCAATGTCTCTCTGTGCTTTTTTAGTTTACATACCGCTTCACTACAATAAAGCAAAAAGTTAAGAAATATGTTTATAGAAAAACTTACCCTTAACAATATTTAAAGACCTGGAATCCGATTTGTCATCCAAAAATTTTTGAGGTACTGAAACATCATCGGTGTCCTCGGCTGAGAGAAACGAAGACAGTACTTCAGGCTCTAAACCCACCGATACAGCCCAAACTGCTACGAGGTCAGTAACAGATCCTGGAATTTACAAATTGAAAACAATAAGCTTATTTTTAATGCTAGATTACATGTTAAAGTATACAGTCCAAAGTCCGTATAATCCGGGACTCGTTGGGACTTCGGAAACTCTAGATTAGGGGTTTCACGGATTCTGATCATCAATTTAAATTGTAAGATGGCATGCAGAAATCATACAATTAAAAAATATGAAACCGTAATTATAAATAAAGAGCAATTATTGATCTAAAGGGTATCAAAATTACAAAACAAAAGCTACGATTTGATTTGTTACTTGAATAAACATTTTTCTTTCATGCAAGTTGTTTAAAGTTGCATCTTTTTGTGCTTAATACTTTTCTTTAATTCTCTCTTATATAACACAGACACTAATCTCGTGTTCACAGTTTTACATAAGTTCTTACTGTTTAAATCCTGAATTGCTGTTTGTAAACGACTAACCTTGTCAATCAAAATTTTTCGTTTGTTTCAATAACCTCTCTGTCACTTTCTTCACTATCGGAAGTGCGCATGTGTAAACACTTTACTGGCTTTATGCGCATTCGTAATGGATGCGCATATCAAATGCGCAAGCGTAAGTTTGTGGCGAGGTCGGATTATAGATTATTCCGGATGGATTATGGACTTTGTACTGTATATACATGGACTGGCATTAATTTCAATCAAAAATATTTTCCATTCCTTTGAAACTTCTAAAAGCTTTAAGTTCATTTTTAGAATACACTTCTAAACATTGTTTAAATTAGGGGTTTCTAGTGGGATCACTGTTGACCCACTGGGGGCTAATGTTTAAAAAGAGGGTCAGTAATGATAAAGAGCTAGATTGGGGTTGTTACAGGGAATATGCCTTAGAACGCAATCGGCAGACCAGAACAGAATTAGGATTCCTCTGATTAAAAAAAATCCTGTACTTAATTTTTTATGATTGTAAAGATGTTATCATATAGTAAGGATGAAATTATAAAATAAAATATAAGGGGGGGGGAGGAACACTAAAATTACTTAATATATTTTAAAAGTAGCAATAAAGTGGCTATTATTTTAAATATATAATTTTTATGCAATAAATGCAATATGAGAAGTAAAACACAAGAACACAGAAAATACAATTAAAAAAGAGTGCAGAATGAGAAAAAAGTTGAATATTTATGAACATATTTAAGAATTAAGCAGTTTTATGACAAAATATCGAAAAAATTGCATCAATACACATCAACTACAGCCACCACAGTAATTAAAATTGAACCTTGTACCCCACTAGAATCTGTGATTTGTTTTTGAAACAATGTTTAGATTGGGAAAATAAAATGACAGTAATACAAAAGTAAGTACTAAAAGGTGATTATTTTACCGAAGTAAATAATTTATTTGAAAACTTTTCTTCACATTTGGAGTCTAATCGCTAACTTTTAAGTTATTTATGTGCAATTATTTGTATTATGATTTTGTTGTACAATGTATATTATAGAAAAAAATGTAAGAATGTGACTTAAAAAATCATACCTGGTACTTTTCTGTTTTGCCGGAGTAGGTGATAAACTCGCCAATAATGGTACAACTGATGCCAAATAGAATATCCTCCATGGTAACCTAATTTTCAAAACAAGTTGCAGCATTCTTATCAGATGATGTTTCTTTCCATATTAGCACATAATCGTAGAATTTTTACTAGTGTAGGTTCAATTTTATGCCTAGGCCCATATGGTAATTAAATAAGGATGAAATCACAAACCACCACCCGAAGGCGCAAATATAGAAAAGGCAAGTCAAGGGTTAAATCATAACTTCTAAGGAGATGCAATAGAAAAGTAAAGAAGCATGTGGGTTTTACATAATTCTGAGTAAGTATTCGTACGATTAAAAAATTTCGTTGCTGCAACTTGTATTCCACATCAGATTTAACTGAAATTAATTGTAGATAATACTGAGAGACTAGATTTGTAGCAGTAATTTAGTGAGATGATATCACTTGGGGTAACATGATATGAAACCGGCGAATCAGGATGTTGAAACCTTGAAGCATAGTATATTCTTAAATTAGGGGGTTGGTTAATGTTAACCCGCGTTCTGATTATCCTTAAGTCACATTGCCCCTGAGTGGGGCTAAATGGGTAACTGTCACAAAGTCCTGTTGCATACTGTGATATGGGTGAGGTGTGAGTGGATGAGGTTCAGTCTGACGATGAGTAATCTTATGACGACCCAACGGACCGCCTCTTCCTGGGAAAACCGGGCGATTGGGGGGAGGATTTGAAATTACGAGGACCTTTGATCTGGAGAGAGGGGTATTGGAGGAAGCTTAAGCCATGTAGAGATACAGGAGAAAAGATGAGTTTTTCGTCTCCAGGCGAGCCAATAGTACAGGAGCCCGGGGCAGCCTAACCAGCATGTCCTGATGCTATCACTGGGGTATAATCTCGCCTGCCTTGTATTCTAGGTGGTGCCTGGTGGGTACGCATGGAGAGCGGGGGGCTTTCCGAGGTCACTACTGGATGCTGAATCTGGGGCTAGCCCCTCCAAACTGGCTCTTAGAAAATCGGAGGAATTTTCTCCCCCTTCTTTCAATCTTATACCAAAATGGTAGCTTGAAAATACAAAAATTAGATAAAAAAAAACCCATCTTCTGAAATACCCACTATAAACCACTGTAATCCTTAGGAGGGATGTGATTGTTGCCCTCGGGTGAGGATGCTCTTCTCTTCCGGACTACAGAAACCAGAACCATGGTGAAAGGGTGAAGGGCCTTCGACACGGACGCCGTGAACCCCAGTGGGATGTATACGGACTCCTCTGTCAGAAGTACTTGTGCAGCTGCCAGAGATGCGCAAGCGGATGACGTCCAATGACGGAGGTTGTAAATAAAAGAAGAGAAAAATGGCAACGACAGAAAAGAGCGAAAACGGCTGGACGAGGGCCATGGAAGTGATCTCGATTCTCTGGGAAAAAGGGGGGAAAAGGGGGGGGCGAAGAGAAAAACGATATAAAGCTGAGACCTCTGGAGCGACCTCCAAAACCGGTGAGAAGAACCATTCAAAGCAAGAAGAGTCTCGTACGAGAGAACGATTGATGGGACACCCCGGAAATGGCCCTCAAGAAACGGGACGGCTATTCGTCAAGCTTGCAGAAAGGCCATCACTCTGCGAATCGTCTGCAAGGATGATAAAGAGACATAACAGCAGTGGATTCAGATTTCATTCACCTCTATAATGATAGCAGAATTACGGATGGCTTCTATCACCACCTGGCCGGGTCCACAAGACAGTCTGCAGCGAATTGGCTCAACATGCATGTGCGGACCAGGAGGACTGTGGACGTCCTAAAGACTTAATTAATGATCTACTGGCCTGAAGAAAACCATTCCAGGTTATCATTGCCATGGCTCCGGAGACGACCCCCCCCATGAAGAGGTTCGCTTGGTTTCCTGGTAACAGGTCACAAAAAGATAACATCCAGTCCTGATGCCGTGTTGGAAACAATGGGCCTGATGTGTAAGACGATCGCCATAAAGGCAGTGTATCCCTGGAGACGGAGGGTAATCCTTGGTGCTGGGAGTGGAACTGAGCTATGGATTATCTGGAGGCACAGAATTTCAAACTTTTTTGTGGTGCCGTGGGCTGTGTACAGCTGAAGGAAAACCAAGGCAACAGGAGAAATCAATTCCTCCGCCCAAGGATTCCTCCAAAGAAGAAACAGTTGACGGAAGAAAGAAAAGGGAGACGAAAAGGGAGTCGGAAACCAGAGCTTTCTTTGGAGGCTCTGGTAGAAGAAATCGAATAGTTTTCCCTGGTCACTACTTCCTTGAAGGAGAGTTAGTATGCTAAGGATGTGGCTTTACTAAGTTCTCCTAAATCCTTCAGGGTAAGTTCTTTCTCTCATTTAACTGTTTTAATGGTTAAGGGAAGTCAGTAACCCGGCAACATAGCCGAGCAAGTTCATAAAATTTAGCTGATACAATTAGGTAAAGCACAGGACTTTTGTTGGCCTTCTTAATATCAAGAACCTGGGTTTGTTACAAGGGTAAAATCCTGGTAGGCCCATGAACGCGCACTTCTTTTCGCAGAGGACTGATAAAGACCTTAGAACTCGCATTTACATTTTCTAAAAAATATAAAGGCTATGAAATTATCCAATTTACCATACAGAGGACTTAACTGCTATTTTAATAAGGACCTAACCAGTTCACTGAGAGGACACATTTTGTTTTTCCCGGTTTACAGGCTATGACTTACATTCCGCAAGATTTATAGATCTTTGGGAGTTTCTGTGAAATAACAATAATCATATGGGTATTGGTGGTGATGTTAACGCCACCACCGGTCATGGGCAGTTTGATACAATCTTAGGGAGGAAAACTCATGGAAACTTATAATGGAATTGCCAAGCTAAACTTGGGGGTAAACAGGGGAAAATCGCCCAACCTTTGTTAACAGAGAAAGAGAAGAAGTCATGGGACTCAATTAAACTTTTCTGAATATTTATAACTTATGAGGAATGGCATGGAAGTGACAAATCCCTCACTTTCTGACCATCGCCTTATACCTTGTCTTGAGAGAAATTCAGCTGAATATTGCAGAAACATTAAAAACACAAATTGGGACCTTTATAAGGATTTTCCTGTTTCTAATGTATTAACCTTCAGGTTTAGACAATCATGTCAGTCGAGGAGCTTGATAATCAAGCAAACAATTGACAAATATCATTATTGAATTATGCATCATGCCCTCTCAACGAAGGAAGTACTCTCCTAGCAATAGAGTTGGGGGGACCAAGGAGATTGAAGCCTCCCGCCTAGGGTTCGGAGAGGTCACAGGGAAAGCAGTCGAAATAAATCTGAAGTTAAACTGTCTAACTTCAAAATTTACAAAGGAAATTAAAAGTAAAATCAGGGACAATAACTAAATCACAATCATGGAGAAGTTCGCACAGCTATTCTGTCCTACCATGAGACTGCCAGAGTATATACGATTCTTAAAAGACTCAGGAGGTTCAACTCTCATCGGTTTTATGGACCTGATGGCGTTTATACTAAAACCCTTTGGATACAACTTTAGACCATGTTGAATTTCAACTGGCGGAAAAAAGTGTACCTCTGACCCCCAGGAAAAGCCCGTGTAACTACTTAAAATCCATTAGATTGGGATTGTGCTAGAAAATTGTGAATTTTAAAGGCTTAACTAAAGCGGCACTTGATGTATTTTTCCCTTTAAATCCAAGGGAACGATGGCATTCCCCCCAATTCTGCTTCAGAAAGGCTGGGATATTTTTGGTCAATTCTCGTGGCATATTCAAGTCCAGTTTGATTTAGGATATGTGTCTAAGGTTTGGAGAACTTCCGGCGGGTGTGGTTTATTGTCCTGAAACCAGGAAAAGATACAATATGAGAGAACCCAACACTCTTTAGAAGTGATCACGCTTCACCATCCTGCACCTTAAGCTTGAGCGATTGATTTTCTGGCACCTCCCGTCCGATAATAATAGAAACATCGTGGCTTAGACCAAAGGTTTTAGGCTGGCTTCTCCCACTGAGTCGGCCTTACACCAAATCATGTGGAGAATAGAAAAAAAAACAATATAGACGGACACTTTGCCATTGGGATTCTACTGGATATTGTAAAAGCCTTGATAAACTCGGTTTCGAGAAATATGAAGGCCCTTACTAGAAGTCATAGTCACCCATGATAATAGATGGTCATCTTCATGATAAAAAAGGACATATCTTGTTGTTAGTATCGCTGAGTAGAGTAAGAGAGATATTACTAAAGGGTGTCCGCAGGTGGTATCTTCTCCGTCCTGTGGACCTGGTATTCGAATCACTATTCGCAAAAATAACAAAACCAAAAAACGACTTCTACGGGGGGAACCGGCATGTCACAGGCTTATGCAGATGACCTTATTGTGTTATTACAGGGTTTCGATATCGGACCTACATAATCAAGCTCAGAAGATCTTAAATAGTTTGACACACTGGGGTGATACAAATGGCCTTTCTTTCTCTGCATGTGAAAAATTCGAGGTCATAGTTTTCCGTGGAGAAGGAATGGAAACTGGCAGATTTATATATGGGTTACCGATATAGGCGTAAGGAATGCGTTAACTACCTAGGATTGTTACCTGGATAGTAAACTTAAGATGGATCACCATAAAAAGAAACGGCCAACGGACCACAAATGTCTAGTATCTGTAGCGGGAATCGTGGTAAACAATGGGGCCTTAACCCAAAATATACTATATGGATTTATACTGCCATAGTCGGCCAATGCTTTCTTACGGACGCGTTCTGGATTAATGTTATAACAAAAGCAAGTAGTTAAACATTTTACAAAGTGCAACGACTGGCTTGCTAAGCATTAGTGGGGCTTAAAAAGATCTCTACCGATGCATTAGAAGTTTTACGGCAAATTCCCCCACCCTTGAAATTATTCTTGAGTAGAGAGAGAAGCCAACTTAAATCAGCTATAGATTGATGTAAATAATGGCAAATGGTGCAAGGACAGGTTTGGGCATAAACGCCACCTGAAAAAAAAGCAAATGACATTATGTCTGGAATTGGGCATGAGATCCCTATAATCTATATGCCCAAAGATGCAATA